TTAAAAATTTTTTTTTTTATAGCTCAAGGTTTACAGATAGTAAAAAGTATGAAGATGATTTTATGGAATGCTTTCAACTTGAGGAAAGAAGAACTGGAGAAATTTGTAATGCATGTGTACTTCTGGTAAAAAGGTGGAAAAAATTACCTGCCGGAAGTAACCGTAATTGGAGACATGTAGGTCTTAATAAAATATATATTATTCACTTACATCAGTTAATATGTTTATTTATTAAAATTAAATACAATTGTAAATAATTTCTTTATGTTCATAGGTCGTAGATGCACGTGCAGGACCTGGTATCAAATCATTAACAAAATTTAAATCAAAAAATAAAAAGAAAATAAAAGATATACCAGAAAAGTTTGAAAAGATTATGAAAAAGAAACATATGTATTTAAAAACAGATAGAGATCGAGAACAAAGTCCGGCAATGAGTGATGATTTAACAGGTAGGTATTTAAAATTCGTATTTTTAGAACAAAATGTTTTCGAATTATAATTTCATAATTATTTTTCGTCTTGTTTTCTTCAGAAGATTATTTAAATGGACATGGTAGTAAAGGTTCAAGTCGAACTGGTAGTCCTATAAGTAGTGATGATATTCCAGTAACTGAAAAACAATTAGATATGCAAGACGACCCAGAATCAAAGAATGATTTAACTGTCAATGGTTTTATTGATTTAACATATTTTAAAAGGTTGGTCTCATTATTAATCTTTACAAATGATATCAGTAATTTGTGAATTAAATTTAATAAGTTTTTTCTTCATGTTTTGAAATATCAATATTATTTCAGGGAGATCATCTGTTGTGGAACAATATTCAAAGGTCCATATGGAGAAGTAATAGTGGATCCTTCATTGATAAAACCTTGTACTGGTTGCATAGCTAGACAACAACGACAACAAACAAATGCATTAAGTTGCAGTCCTGTGCATAGTTCTGCATCTGCTAGTCCTGTTCACAGTTCTGCGTCTGCTAGTCCTGCTCATAGTGTAGAGTCCGGAACAGAGACAACAGTCTCTAAACAAACAAGCAAAACATTTAGTGACTCATCGTCAGATTCCGGCTATGATGAATCTTCCAACCAAGGAGTTGGTGAGAATAAAATTACTAAAATTACTCAAAATACAAGTACTACTGTAAAATCAGCAGTTAAAATACAACCATTGAAAAGTGTTCAATTAAAAGCTATACCAGTATCGGAAGCTGTCAGGTTAAAAACAGATGTGCCAATTAAATTGGTACCTATAAAACAAATCGATCAATTATCTTGTAAGCCATTGTCCTTAGTTTCTTCTGCTAATGTTACTTTAAGCAGTAGTACTTCACACTCCATCGTTACCGTCCCGAGTAATAATCCACTTGTCGATTTTGCCATGCACGCAGCCTCTTCCAGGCAGTCAGTTTCTAATTAATGTCAGTCTCTTATAGAATTTTAATTTATTTTTTTCTTATATAGTTAGATATATGCTATGATGCAAAATTGTGTGTTATGTATGCTAATATTACCATCTCAGATTACAAAGGCTCTGGGTAAGATTGTTTACGTTTTATCATATCGAGCACAAAGAGTTTATAATGTTATAAATGGTGAAAAAATGAATTCTTGTAATTAGAATGACTGTTATGATGTACAGTAGATATATAGTGCTCTTAGAAAGATTGCATAGGATT